CAAAACATTCAATGCCACATACACTGTGGTAACCATTAGTAACTTCCATAGGAGGATCGACTGGTTCACAAAGAGCTGCACAGTTTGCTTTTCACCAAACCCAATTAGCTTTTTGGGCCACTGTCTGAGTGAAAGCAAGTAACACACTATTGACCCTGTTTAATCAGCAAATCCAGTCAATATGCAGCCAGTAGTCTTGGTAACCACAGGACAGAAACATATGACACAAGTACAAAATGGGGATGGTTTCAGTTACATGATTGTAAATAAATGATGCCTCTTGTTGCTGTACGTGATTTGATTATTCGATTAGCAGATTGGTAGAAGTTAATCATAATTTTGAAACTTTTTAGTTTTCTCTGTTGCATATCATTATAAAATGGATAGTATATCTTGTGTTGTTTTGGATGCTGATTGAGAAATGGTTGACATCATTGTTTAACATTTTATACATGAAACTGAAACAAAAATTCACTATCAGTGTTTGTGTCTGGAGGTTTCCACATCACACTGGTGTAAATTGCACATTGGACCATGATTGGTCTCCAAAGTAATTGTGGTGACACAAAATCCTGCTGGTACATAGATGTCCAACACTTAGATTCAAGGTAAGAATTAGAGAATCAGATCAATGTGAAAACAGCACTGCTAGTAGTGTCTATACATACATCATTGGGCACAGTGAAGCTCAGACATGCAAGTGAGTTGACAATAAGTAGATTGTGGAAGGGGAGCTTTAAACTAAAAAGGGTACATCACAGCTTTTCATTAGAGAGACACAGGCCTTTTTCTTTCTCACACTGAACAGTCACATTAAGTAAACACTACTAGACTTTAAGCGACTCAAAAAGTGATGTTTAACTGCCTGAGGATCGTCTGAAAACACAGGTTTTTAATTTCACTAGAAAAGCACAGGGACTCATTACATCCCCAGCTGGTCTTAATCACGTTAATGAGGTTGTGAGTATCGAGTGAAATAAAATATGTAGCGAAACTTCCTTTAAACATGTATGTGTGCTAATGTAGCTCCGCTCTGCAGGAAATCGTTAACGTTGTCATTAAACGGTGGAAGTCCGCAACCCAAAATCTCCTCTACTAATGACAATAATGCAATTAACGGTAAAAGAAGGACATTAACGTCAGTGTTATTAGCTACCTGTTTTTGCAGCCGGCGGAGCTTCCGAGTGATGAAAAGACGACGACAGACTGCAGCCTCTGTTGGGCCACTCGGGATGTTTCACATCCAAAAGGAAACTCGCCGAGCCTCTGTGTCACTGAACTCTTGAGTTTGCAGCTGCAGTCAGGTCAACAACATCTGGTTCATCTGTAGTAGAGATGTTTCCTTCAGCTGAAACACAGGCACTGTAAGTTTTAGAGGACAGAGCTGTCACTCTGCTGTTGTTTCCGGGTACTAAATAATTCATTACGAATACGGGCGGGAAACGGAGCTGGAGTCACGTGGTAGTGTATTTCCGCTTTCTGACCTTAGTCTTTTTCAAAATGAATGGGAGGTGTAAAGTGGGAACTATGAATGTAAATAAAACACACTCAGCTGACAGGTACACCCTCAGTCTAATACAGCGGTCCTATGATAAATCCGTATAATGTTCAGTCTTTGTTGAAACTGTTTTAGAGACAGAGAGCTGTTTATTGTGTTCTACTGGCAGACAGTGATTTAACTGAATATTTCAGTGTCTGTTTCCAAAAATACGTAGTTTTCACTTGTGATGATGATGACAGGTCAATCATTAAACCCAGAAATACAGTGGGTCCCCAAAAGGTAGCAGGTATTCAGGTCAAAGACTTTCGTTAAGCTAGTAGACTTGCTGTTTAGTTTTGAAGACATTTCTCCAGCCATTCAAAAGACTGTCAGTTCAGGTCAGAACTAGAGCATACAAATACCAAACAGTATGAGACCTGATCTCTTCAGTGCAGAAACATATCAGATCATTTATAGAAATACACCCAAATAACATATTAGTTGAATTATTTCAAATTATATCACTGGAACTATACTGCAAAATGGCAGAACTTTGGGCCAACAACACCTGACAATAACATATCTAGATTGTAGATATCATTTTTGCTATACTTAAAACATCACATTAATGATAAATAAACATAAATTATATGATCAACTATCATATTACTACAACTAGGTGACATTTTGACTGTACAGTAATAGAGATTTACCTGTGTGGTTTTCATGCCTCTCTGACTGATAGTGCTGTGTTGCAATCCCCACTTTCATCCTCTTAGCTTTCACCTCTGTTTCCACCGCTGCCTGGCCCTCATCTGTCAACAGCAGAGGGCGCTCAGTGAAAACACTCTGTTACAAATCAGTTCAAATGGGATATGCCCTGATGCTACACTGTTACTGTTGTGTGACAATTATCATGGAAAATCTGAACTACAAGACTGTCTGACTTACTTTATCTCAATCACGTAGGAATTTTGTGACTGTATCAATGAAATGGTTTCGTTTTCAAGTGAATACTTGTTGGAACCTGCAGTACTATTAATGCACTTCCTGACATTGGGATGTCAGACATTGTGAAATGTATTACAGACTAATGCATCTTGGAGCAAAACTCCTTTTAAAAGCAAAGAGAGATGTCTGGTTGGTGAAACAAATCTGGAATATGTTGAACAAACATATGTATGTCCTATTTCAATGGAAAATCAAACAACAATTTCATACACTACACCTAAAAGATAATAGCTGATTATATTTGCCAGAAGTGTGTGTATAATACAATACAATCTGATATAAAATACAGTTCTTATGACTCAATGAGATCAACAAATACTGTGTATCTCTCAGTCTCGCCTCCACACAAAGATACACACACACACACACACACACACACAACACACACACACACACACACACACACACACACCCTTTAGGATTCATAGGTAAGGGTGTAGCTCTTTATGACAGGTATTGCATTCCTTGAAGCACACTGAAACTCCATTGCCAAAACAACAGCACCCACTATTTCCAAAGCTTTCATTATTAATATTATGTTTCAAGTCAACAATGCTTCATGTGACACGTGGGTGAGAACGAGATAAGGGTGATTAAGTGTTAGATAGAGGGATAAAGAGAGAGAAAGGAATGAGGATGGAGAATCTAGGATCAAAACAAAATGTCCTGTACTGCTATTTGACTTTACAAACAAGCTGAATACTAATATTGCCTTTGCACTATGGTTAAAAGTGTGAAATGAGATGTGAACCTTTTGTGTGGTCATTCAATAACCAGGCTACATCCTTCCTTAGTGGCAGCTATGAAGCCTGTGTTTTCTACAAGGGCCGTCTACAAGGACTGAGCAGTATTTCCAGTGCTGAGGAAAAGGGAAGTGCTTCATTAGAGCCTGTATCGCTTCTCTATTCCTGACACATATGCTGGACTGTATTTTTTAACAGTGACAGCAAACTAATATATGCCTTAGGTCATCACTAACGCAGTCTATGGTCACAACATGGTCACCTGAAAGAGTATCTGATCTTTTGTACTGTGTTTAAAAGGTGGGATAATAACCCCAGAGCAGGAAATAATAATATTTAATTTAATTGTGATTGCTTTTGCTATGAAATTATGAAAAAGCTAATGGTGGAAAGAGGAAGTGAAGCGTTGTTTGGTGCTGGCTATGTAATGTTTTTCTTTTTAGAAGTGTAAGATAAAATCCATGTTATGTAGATGAGGGGATCCCCACTGCACTCTCACTCACTGTCTGGTTATAAATATTCTCATTCAAACACAACACAACCGCACACCTGCAAGATTCTGACTCTGAAAGTCCCACAAAACACATGAATAGACTGCACATTTATCACTAATGACGCTACAATTACTGGTGGATTCATCTGCCTTAAATTCAGTGGAACTGGGGGGTTTCGTGGGATGATATTTTTGTAAAAGTACATCAGGTCAGAGCAGGTGGAGCCACTCCTGCTCAGCCAAATGACTGTTGTCATCTGAGCTGCTTCCAAAATGTTTGATGGGCCTCAAATCTTTTCATCAATATATCTGCCGTATTACAATATGAGGAGAATGCAATGGCATGTTGTATTGTAGCCTAACCTTAATATTATAAACCACCATTCTGGCATTTGAAATATTGAAAATGTGTCAGAACCATGATTTGCATATCAACACTCAGTTCCCTGTTTATTAGGTACACTTTGCTAGAGCTAATGCATAAAGTTTTTTTTTTTTTATGTTGAAACTGAGGTGTTAATTCAACTTTCTGCTAAGTTCAGTGGTTATAGTTTGTGGTACTCTTGAATTGTATTGCATTACCTTACAACCTTCACAACCTTCACACCTGGCAAGTGTGTAGTTGTCTGTTTATAGTCACTAGTGAAATGTGTCCTATAGGTCTCTTGCATCACATCACATGTTGTATAAACTCAAATAACCTGTATCTGCCTGTTCCAATACATTAAAACGATGTGGTGCGTTTGTTATGTGAGATATTAAAGCCCTCAAATTTTTATGGATGCAGCATATTTTGAAATGCCTTTCTTTGATAATCTGTGGAGTTTATGATGTGTCATAAATCTGCATCACATACTGTATATGTGTATATATATATATATATATATGAGTCCAGAAATCTCCGGGCCTTTACTGTATTCAAAAGTAAGTTTAATACATGCCACCACTATATTGACTCAGGTGACTCTGGGTTGATTGAACTGGTTTGTAACAGGACACATGTACAATATAGTGTATGTTTGTCGTCATTCTCCGGAAATAAATTGCCGACAGTAAAGTCCCTGAGAATTCCAGTAGAACCGGGCTTAATAATTGCAGCGAACGACTGCTTGTTTAAATTCGATGATGAAACGCGGGTGACGAGGTGATGCAAGAGGAGAGATTAAATAACTTTCAGTTTCTTTCCTTAATTTGTCGGTGGAGAAATTCCTCTTCGTTAAGGCCAGCCTACCGAAACACCCTCTGCATCCGGTCTGCGGAGGGTGCCTTGAATTTGCTGATCGCGAGAAGCTCGATCTTCTCTTTAATTCCCCTGTCCGCGAATCAGTCACCCAATCGTGCCACGGTAATACCACACGGAATCGTACCCTCCCACCATACGTGATGTCACAGATTGTGTTTCAATAAATGTTAACAAAGCGCTCCAGCAGGAACCAGATCAACAGCTCTGTGAGGAGTAACACCTCTGCTGAGAGATGCAAAGGTAAGGCGATACACAGCCTCATCATCTTCTTCTCCCCTGGACATTTACTAGATTATTATTATGTTTCTTTGTTTTTATTTAACGGGAGTGGCGTACATGTACATGTACTGTGAAGTAGTTTGTTCCTGTAACATCTGCTTTGTGTGTAGATTTATTCAGCTCTTTTTCTATAATATACTGAATAAGTCTAGTAAAGTGTGCATGTTGCTGAATATGGGCCATACAATGGTGAGGATTACAGGCTCTGTCTTTCTAAATGTCTGCATAAGGACGGAAAAACACTGTACTGTGTGGGCTGACTTACTTTCAGTATAGCACCATGTCTTGCGTGTGTGGTTGAGTTGTGACGTTTTTTTTTTTTAATTTCCTCTCCTTCATCCTTCCTCCGCTTGTTTTCTCTCAGCCCTCCGAAGCCTCAGTTCGCGAGCTGGCTCATAGAGCAGGTGGAGACGGGCCAGTACACGGGCCTGTGCTATGTGGGCCAGAACAAGTTCAGAGTCCCCTGGAAGCACAACTCCAGAAAGGACTGCAAAGATGAGGACAGTAAAATATTCCGGGTAGGTTTAATGGCCTCTGTTGACCTGGTCACTAGAGTAATGGTGCTATCTGACAAGACGTGATAAGATAACATTTTAATAACTTTGTTGACATCAGTCTCACGCAACTGTAATCATACTGTATAACTGAAAAACATTAAAATAATGTGCTACGAATACAACTCATGGGCAGTCTCTGTTGAAAGTGACAGTAAACAGCATTAGTCCTGATGTATGGCAGGTGGCAGCTGGTCCCAGACTGCCAGGGACAATAATGTTATGCCAACAGCAGCGGTGGCTCTTCCACTTTCCTTGAGTCAAAGTACATGCAAAGTAGCCATATCAAAGTTAATAAGAAAAACAACTATTACAAGAAAAACATCCTGCAATTACACATTTCCTCAAGAAAGTAAAGGAAATAGCTGCAGGAAAATAGAATAATGTTGTCCCATATAAGCACTTTTATTTTGTTTGAGTATATAACTTTGAAACTGAAACTGCTTTCCCCAATGTTATTGGTACTTCTATGATGCAACATCATACTTAGATTTTGTCAAGTAATAACAATTATAAACCACTGTCAGTCCCTGCATTCAGGAAACTGCCTTTCTGTTTCAGAGTGAGTAGTGTCGTCATCTTTCATAGCAGAACTTTTTGTTTACATGTGATTTGCAGAGTGTCCTTTATTAAATGGGTCTAAGTATTCATTATGTAAAAAGTATTAACTTCATTATGTAAAATCCTAATTTGTCATTTTACTAATAACTTCAGATGTTAGATTAAAGCACCTAAGTGTATTTATTTCCCACCTCTGGCGAATAGAGTGTCATTACTTGTTTGATTCACAGGCATGGGCAGTAACAAGTGGTAAAATCAACGAGTTCCCCAATGACAAGGCCAGGTGGAAAACCAACTTCCGCTGTGCTCTGAACAACCTCTCTGTGCGCTTCAGGATGATACAGGATAATTCAAAGAATTCTGATGACCCTCATAAAATCTACGAGATTATCAATACTGAGTGTAAGACGATTGGTATTTCATCTTTCCACTGTGGAACTGTCTGAAGTTTGACTGCATATTAATGTGGGTCTGTTTTCTCGTTTTATGCAGACAACTATGAAGGTATGCCAACACAAGTCTCACAGGAGGATTCTGTCATGACTCCAGATATCTACAGCTCTCCCACAGAGTACTTCCCCCCAGGAAATGAGGTGTAGTATTGCTTAAAGCTAACTTTAATTTCACTTTGTTAACTGGTTTAGTGGTTGTCATGTTACTGACGATGTTTGGTCTGTATTGTTCTGTAAATTGACTGTGACATTTCAATACTTAATTAATGCCTAAATAGTTATGTTTTTTTCCTCCAAACAGCACAATCAACTGGTTAACAATTTCACAGCCTTGGGTCTTGGCAACCATCCAACAGGTAGTGTCTTACACAAAGGGAAACGCTCTCATATAAGTTAAAAATATCCTCTGTATCTGTTTATGATTTCATATGGTCATGATTTTTATTGTCTTTGATAGAGGAGCAACTGTTGGTAGAGAACTACTGTCAGCCCAATGCAGCTGTCCTTGGAGGCTATTCTGTTGCAGCCGAGAACCACCCACAGGTTTTACCAGATCAGCCGTCTTACTACGAGGGTATGTTCAGCCGAATAAAATTTTAAATTCCTTTGGTGAACTGAAATGTCATTCTGTAAAAAATGCTTCCCAATGATAATCTGTGAAAATGTGATCTGTTTTGTTTTTTATTTTGTACAGAACAGCCACCGCCTGTCCTCAATCCACCACTGCAGCCAACTATTTATGACCTGGAGATCTCCATCCACTACAGGAAAAGAGAAATGCTAAAAGCCACGTTTTCCACTCAGCGTCTCCAACTCCACTACGAGCACGTATCCCCTGATCTCAATGCCCATCATCTCTGCTTCCCCTCCACTGAAGGCCTGCTAGACCACAAACAGGTATATGGTCATACTGAAAAATCACCTGTTAATAGTTTATTTCACTTTCCTTACAGTAATAAACATTACCAGCCAGGTTCAGTCACTATTATCAGTATCTGTTAAACTGAGATAATATTGGCAATCTAACTTTCGAAACATGTCTGTTAGAATAGGTCTCTGGTAGGTCCCTGAGGAGTGTAAATAAAGTTTCTGTTTACATTAAGTGTCACTTACCAAAACACATGAGTTTCTCTCCTCAACAAAGAAGTTTCATCAGCTTGATTTCAGAGATTGGGTTTTGTGTTAGTGCAAGAGCTTGAAGACTCAACAGTCTTGGAGTATGGGGCATAAAAACCTTGTTCTTGTACCTACTGTGGCTCTCTCCATCTACATCTATTATCCCTCAGATCTTTAGGCGTTCTCAAAAATCGTTCAGGAAGAAATCGAATGAATATGAACTGAATGCAAGATTAGGGGGTGGAGTTTTTCCTTTAAACTAACACACAGTATATTGCTGTACATCATCAGTGCGACAATAAAGCTGTTCTTCTAAGTCACAACCTTCTTTGCACCAGATCGAATACACCAACCGCATCCTTAACAGCATCCAGAAAGGTCTACTGCTGGAGGTTCGGGAGACTGGTATTTATGCCTGGAGGCAGGACAGGTGCCATGTGTTTGCCAGCACCAGTGACCCCAATGTGGCTGACCCAGATCCGAGAAAGCTGCCTCAGAACACCATGGTGGAGCTCCTTAATTTTGAGAAGTATGTAAATGGTAGGTGTGGCTCTCTTGTTGCTCATTGATGTGAACAAAAGTACTTCTTATAACTAATATTATTACATTTCATTTGAAACCTGCGCTGATTTTTACACTGTGAAATAAATATCTGTTTCAGACCTGAGAAAGTTTAAAGAGAACAATGGTGGCTCTCCTGACTACACCATCAACATGTGCTTTGGAGAGAAGTTCCCTGATGGAAAACCTTTGGAGAAGAAACTGATCACAGTCCAGGTAACACTCTTTCCAATTTTTCCTGACCTTCGCCTCAATGACGCACAGTATTTGAGTTCATCTGCCTTCAGTTGTGTAGTTTTTAAGTGCTGTGAAATCTCTCTCTCCCTCTGCTCCTGTAGGTGGTCCCTCTGATCTGTCGACACTTTCATGAGGTTGCCCAGATGGAAGGGGCTTCGTCTCTTCACAGCGCCAATGTCAGCCTACAGATCTCACACAACAGCCTCTATGATCTCATTTACTCTGTCTTTGGTATACCAACAGCTGAAGAGGCAGCACGGGCTGCTTTGCCTTTCCTACCTCAGAGCTGAAATTTCATCGCTCACTTGCCTCTAATGGGGACCACTTTAGTTACATACAGGACCACACCAGGCGCCATATCCTGCTCCTAACCAAAGCTTTGCTAAAAAAAAAAAAAAAAGTAGCCAATCCACTCACCTGTTGAATGTGCTACAGCTGAGGCAGGAACAAACATAATTGCACTTGGTGCTGCAGAATGCGCCGTTATTGATCAACTAACACCACACTCCTGCTTTGCATTATCCTGCTTATACTAGTCACAAACTGTTGGCAAAAACTGACATTGTTTATCACTACAAAGTAGAAATAAACTCCATCATTACTGAGACCGTTACTCCACTCAAAGACCAAAGGTCTTGCTTTAGAATGAACTTTTTACATGATTACTGTAAATATCAAAATAACATTAGGAAATGTTTGTTTCGTTAGATTTATGTAGTAAACAAATGATGACTTATATGATGGTAAATCCATTCATACATGTACAGTTTGTGATTATTGATAACATATTTATGAGTGTATAAGGTTTTTTGTGTCATACAGCCACCATGCACTATGTTTTCGTATCTGAAATAAACTGTTTTGCACTTTTTATACTTTGCTCGTTATCTCGCACTTTTCCTACTGAACAAAGCTAATTGTAATTATTTGTATTTCAAATAAATAGGTTTAACTCTAAATGGTTTCTCAATTTGTTACCACTGAGCTGTAATGTGTGGCTTATAAATGTTTGGAAGGACTATATGGATAACTTTTATCAATTTATAACAATTGTGGGGTATAATCTACGGCTTTAAAAACGTAAGTCCATGGAGTAGTAGCTTCCAATGCAGAACTATTACACTGTAGCTGTAAGAGACTGTAAGAGAAGACAAAGATCTTGTTTTTTTATTAAAACATTGTCCCTGAAAAGAAAATACAAATGACTATGAAGAGGCTGAAAAAAAATGAATGTAGTCAGCCATAACTATGATTCTCATAGTATATGTTCAGATTTTACCACTTCAAAACCTGAAATCCTTAAAAACAGAAATATAAGAACAGGACAGAATATGACTAAGTTCTTGAATTAAACTGAGACAAAACCCTAATTATCATCAGTGATTTATTACTGTGTTCCCTCTTAGAAACATCTGGCATGTTTGATCAAGTAAATACAGAAAAAAATACGAAATACATTCAGATAAATGAGCACCTGTTTTGTTTTGTTTTGATTTTTATATTCCAGCCCACCTGGTCAGTCTTTGCAGTGGGCAAAGTAACTAGTAAAGAAAACAAAATGGCGAACAAGTAGAAATTAGTTAAAGAAAGCAATGCAGAGTAGCAAGGGATATCGACAAGAGTGAGCTTTTAGGCTAAAGATACACTGACAAGCCAAAGCCGTCATTAATGAGGCCGCAATCAAGTAATGCAGACACTTTAAGGTTAACAATGAAACGACTAATTCAGTGTTGCCAACTAAAGGCATGTACTTACTTCTGTTATACCTACATTGGAAAACGCTGTGGTTTATAAGACGTTTCATTATTTTTCTAATATACAGACAATAAATTGATCACAAAACCATGAAATTCTGCCAATGAAATTAGCTCAATATTTATTAATAAACAATAAATACAAAAAGAAAAAAATATTTTTGTAGTTAAAATGTTTGAACATGAGAGTACCAGGTTGGTCAGTGACAAACTCTACACATTAACATTTTTTGTGAGATAAAGGGGGTTAAACCTCATTGAGATATGCATTCGATATTATAACACTTTTCACTCCAAAGTAAAATCTATCTAACTCACTGTGGTGTTGTAGCCGCCATGTTTAAAAACAGAATGCCCAAAAAACAAATTAAATCTTACTTATTCAGGGAAACGGTGCATTTTTTATTACTATTATTTTTACTAGTTTGGCACAAAAACTAAAATATTCCCTGGTTCTATAAAACCTGGTTTTCCACATTTAAGTCAGGGGTTGAAAGGATGATGATGACATTCCAAGAATTTTTCAGACCATAAGAAATCAAGTTTGCCTAAAGAGAAGAGACCGTTATTTGAGAAGAGTAACCACGTTGTTCATTTCAAACTACTGAGCCACAATTCACCTGGAGTACGCTGGACTAGATTTAGCTCATTAAACATGGTATATTAGAAATGTGGAAGACAGGTAACAGAGGCTTTTAAGTACAAAACAAAAAACAATCAACTCTAAACTAGAACCATTTATGTCAGTCATTTTAAACAGGCAACACAGATGAAAGAAACATGTAAGTGGATATATCAAATCTATATTATTTACAACCAAATCTAAAATTGTTTAATTACTCTACTGATAAATTTTCTACAAAAATTGCATAACAGTGTTTCTTAATGTGACAAATGTCTTAAATGTGCATACTCTGCATACTTTTATACCACTTCTTAACCAACAAAATTAGTTTTGCCACTGATAAATACCCCTGCCGTCCCACAAAACAAAAAAGCTGGAGAAAACTCAAAGCCCACGCTGCGTCCTCCCAGTGATATGCCTGCTGGGAAAGCTACCTGATTTATCACTCCATGGGAGGGTCTTTCATATTTGCCTCTTTAAGGCACAACCTCAGAGTCTCCCATTAAGTTTCTGAGCTGTACTACACAAAAAGACCACTTCTCGGCAGTGGCAGTCCAAGCACAGGACACCAATAGGTGCTTTTCAAGTGATCAGAGAAAAATGTTTGACCTCAAACATTCTGTTAGGGTAGAAAGCTCGACATTGTACAAAATGTTCCATCTTCCGTGAGCAATCTTAGTTAATGTAGATTGGCTATGTCAGAGTGTTTGAGATCATAACTCGGGTAGGACACGGAGTAAAACATAGTTTAACATGTGAATGAGTGTTTGTGGTGGGCGCGGCAGTCCTTGCCTGCAGTTTACGCCTCCTCAGGGGCTGTCAGAGGTTCTCATGGCCTCAGTCTGTACCTCCAGTGCATTCCCTAAGTCCTCTCCTTTCTTGTGTTTCCTAGCATGTTTGTATTTGTCCACATATGCCTTGACCAGATTGCCCACCTTCACTGGGTTGATCTCACCGCTCTTGCTGTGGCACACCTGATGACCAGGAACACAATTTAATTACAGACAAAATTCTCCAGAAAAACTAATTTCAACCGATAACCTGTGATTAGTTTATTACTCGAAAGCTATTAGTGTTTTAATTTCATTTTTTAACCCACCTTCTGGACGGCTTTGCGAAGAATCTCTTTGTATTCATCCTTGTTGATGTCTCTCCTCTGGTAGAAAGGCTTGATCGCTAGCTTCACCTCCTCTATAGCTCTCTCCTGCATGTGCAGCTTTTTCAAATACTGTTGGGAGAAGTACACATCACTTATGTCAAGACAAATGATCTCAAACAATGAAGGCAAAGGTTTTAATCAAATATTTATTTAAAACCAGAAGTTAACCAACACAACCCAAGATTTTTGTTCTAGACTGTTGATCTACAAGTGAATCCAGCCCCACCTACTGCTCCAGCTGAAAGTAATGTGAAACGTTATCTTATTTTCTTGACAAGGTGGAGTCAGTAAGAGCCTCTATTACCCCAAGTGCCACATCAGGACAGTCTAAGAGACTTTTCTCTTATTACTCTGTCTGAAACAGTATCCCATATGGGTGTCCTCCAGCCCTCTGGATGTAACGCTGAATAAGTTTACTTTCCGTTTTTAACAGTTCGTTGTTGTCAGGTTGTGTCCCTGATTACTTTAAAGGCCAAAACACACAGTTGCAAAATGGCACAAGTCACCCGTGTTATTATCATCGATAATACAACCGCAACACTGGCAGCGGCTAGGCGCATGTCGCCACACGGCCCTGTGATACTTCAGGCCAGCCTTGCATGATGTATCACATCTATACATACAGTACCAGTCCAAAAAAAAACCAAACAAAAACATATTCACCTTGTCTTTCCTCGACAAATCCCCTTCCTCGGCTTCTCCTTGTCCAGTTATTGATAACCCCTCTGGATGTAGGCCATCAGACCTAGAGGAAGCACTGAGGGGACAGACTCCCCCTTTCTTGGAGGAGTCACTGACGGCTCCACTGACGTCCTGTAAAAGTCAAGGGAGATTATATGGATAAGAAAATGACTAGACTAAAAGTTTACAGGGGGATGGAATAAAAGATAAAATGTAAATAAGTGATTATTTTCTCGATTAACCGATCAATCGTTTTGTCTATAAAATGTTAAAATAATGGTAAAATATGCCCGTTGTAATTTCACACAGCCCATTGTGTTCTATCCAAATTGTTTGTTTTGTTTGACCAACAGTTCAAAACCCAAATATATTTTGAATTTAACATAAGACACAGAGCAGCATCAAATCATCTAGTTTGAGAAGCTGAAACCAACAAATATTTGGTTTTGCTTGAAAAATAATTACAATGATTGATTAGAAAAATAGTTGCCAATGACAAATCGATTCATCAACTAATCGTTGCGGCTCTAATTCCTTTAAGTAATCTGGATGTTACAATTTTGATATAAAATTACAATCAAGTCAAACTAAAAACCTGCAACTATTCATATTCAAACTGCTTATGTATATATGACATACAGTATGGTAATAATAGTGTATGACAAACAGACCTCTATCATTACATCATCTATAGACATACAATATGATGACTTAGTTTGGAATAAGTGATTACACTTAATGTGTTGACAACAGTTTAATCTGTACAGTGTGCCTTTTACTTTCATTTAGTCTGAAAATACTTCAGTATTAGTTTCAGTTTCTACCACATGACTCATGACTTTGTTCCAGACACACATTTTCTACTTCCAGGTGAACAATGCCACCCTCTGGTCATTATTCACATTACATGCTTAATGCGTTTCTAAAAATTCTTGATGCAATAAATACGAGGTTAACTTTGCAGTGATAAGTGGCTCAGTCCTACCTGACTAGTTGTCTGGACTGTCATAGAAGGTCGGCGAACTCCCTCCTGCTTCAACTTCAGTTTATATAGAGCCACTTCTGTAATAAAGAAATCAGAAAACATTTTGCTGTGAGCCGGATGCAAAACATGAAGTTATCCTAGTGTTAAACTAAAGATTTTCCCCTTGACACGTGAACAGCAAATGAAAACTGATGTGGAGTGGTCAGGCAGCAACACTTACTGCTTGCAGATTTCTCTGGTTGCGGCCCCTCAGGCTCCTGTATATTCCAAGTAACCCTCTTCACTTGAGTCTTGGATTTAGCTCCAACTACAGCCAACACCTGCTCTCCTTCATTTTTCACCTCCTCTACCTCTTTCTCTTGTTTGACAAATGCACCACTTGCCTCTGTGTGCTCAGACTTCACATAGTCCAGGTTGTCAAGCATCACATCGACATTGAAGTCATCATCAGAGTCTGAGGGTTGCTGAACTTCCTGCTTTACAGAGACAGTCAACCCTGTAGTGTTTGGTTGTTCTGTTGAAGTCTTTAAGCCTGGGTAGGACTGAGAGACTGCATCCTGGTGACTGTCTGCTGTAACAGATGTGGTTAATGTGGAAAATGAGGTGACAGGTGGTAAGTGGCACAATTCTGGGGAACTTGGCTCTGATTTAATTGTGATTTCACAAGCCTCAGTCTTGATGAGGTTTTCTTTGATTCCCTCCTCATCTACACCTTGGATTTCTGTCAAAGTAGATGTATCCATTTCTTCTTTCTT